GATCCGCACACCTCTTTGCCTACTCCCCAATATAGACCAATATAGATGAAAAGTACTGCTAGAAAACCAGCAATCCCACTATGAGACTTTATCATGAAGAACATTTTCCTGGCATTGCCTAGAGTTATATTCAGTAGTTAATTATTGGTGAGGTTGATTCATTAAGATCCTTAAATGAGGGAGAGTTCAACCCTGTAACAGAGAAAGCCATGTCCCTAAACGTTTCAACACAACTGTGATCAGAGCTTGGCTGCCTTAAGTGGAGATTCTCTCCCTCTATAAATGCTGCAGTGTGGCAACTCATTTAAAGTTTACACTTCAGTAAGACATAGCATTTTACAGCCTAAGAATCGTCATGTCTCCCTTAACATAGGCACTTGACTTCCACTGTGCCATTATCTGCCCCCTTTTCTGCTTTAGTCATTGCATGACTGTCAACTCTGCTTTGTGTTAGCAGACATGGAAGAACTAATAGGACATATATTCAAAAACTGCTATATCCTCAAAACATAGAACAGTGCCTGGCATATAATAAAAACTTCATAAGTATGTGTTGAACAAATCATAATTAAATTTATCAGAACAAGACTATATGTCTGCTAGGTCAATTGGCATAACATAAAGATGATGTTCTAAAATGTTCATAAAGACTGTGTTCTACATCCTACTTTGTTGAGTGCTGACAGGGGTTTTAAGAGCTTGCAAGTGGCCATGTAAGATATAATTATTGGTCTTTTCCTATCCAAAGCATTAAAAAGTAAAGAAAATCAAAGACTCGAGGAAATAGTCAGTTAGTCCAAAGGACTAATGGACCACATAAATCACAGCTTCCACTAGCCCGAGACCAGAAGAACAAATGGTGGTCAGATACCACTACTGGCCACTCTGATCAGGATCACAATAGAAGATCCTGGACAAAGTGGGAGAAAAGTGTAGAACAAAATTCAAAATCATAAAATAGACTGGACTTACTGGTCTGACAGAAATTGGTAGAACTCCTGAGACTATAGCATTTAGAAACCCTTCAAACCTGGAATTGGACTCACTCCCAGAGATCTTCTTTCAGCCAAACAATAAGCAGGCTTATATGATAAACAATAACACCCACGAGGAACTTGCTTCTCAGGATAATCAACCATAGGAGACCAAAAGGGTAGCATGTGCCCCAAAACAAAGCTAAGAAGATAGGAAGAGGCAGAAAAGAGGGACGAATAGAAACAGGGAACCTTAGAAAAAGTGGGAAGAGTGTTGTTATACTGAAAGGATTGCAACCAATGTCACTAAAGAGAATGCTTAAAATTATTGAATTGGTAAGTAATTTGCTCAATAAACTTTCATAAAATGTTCAAAAAAAAAAAAAAAGACTATATGTCTGTGTTCCATCTCCCTTGTGATACAGTGAATTACTTAATATGGCTCTTCTAGCCATGCTCTTTATAACACCTACCAGATGACTGGGTGGGACCATGGAAATGTGAGGTGCTTGTGGCCCACCAAGGGTACTGGATAGCTTGCTAATAACGTAAATAAAGTACATGGCACCCTTGTAGGGGTGGGGTCATCCAAATAAGTTGTATGGAACCCTAACGCAGGGATTGGTCAGTTTTGCCATCTTGCTAGGCTTAAAATGAACTATCCCAGAGGCAAAAAGGGAGATTTCACTATCTTCAAAAAGAAGAGCCAGGAGTAGAGCATGTCCTTTGGACCCGGGATCCCTGCACTGAATCTCCTTGCCTCAGGAGACAGAGAAAGAGAGAGCTGTAACACCTTGCTGAGATGACAAGAGATGGTGGCAGAGAAGCCACAGCAACAGAGACAACAGAACCAAGAAGCTGGAACCAAGAGACTGGCACAAGACAGAGCAATGGGCTTCCAAGCCAAAGGGTGAGAAAGTTGAATGCTTTATGGCAAGAGCCTTGCTGGCAGAGTGGGGTGCATCCCTGGGCATCTGTTGGCACAGCTAAAAGAGCTTTATAACACTTTGCTGAGCAGGGGGTAGGGGAGGCAGAGAGGAAGGCCAAAGACAGGCATCCCTGCAGGAACAGCCAAGGAGTGGCTGTCCTGATCGAAGAATTGTATCCTGAGTATTCCTGAACCTGAATTGTAAACTGCTGCTTCTCTAATAAACTCCATAATCATGAGTATTGTCTGAGTTGTGTGTGGCCACTGCAACGAATTATCTAACCCAGCAGAGAGGTAGAGAGTGCCGTGGAGAAAAGGTTGGTGTCAGAATTGGTAAAAAATGTTGGAGAGTCATGTTGGAGATCATGTCTGACCTCTGCCTCATAGGAATAAGCCTTGGGCTGTCGATGTGGATCTTGATCTTTCCACCCTCTTGTGAAGTTAAAGGTGGTCAGACACTGCCCCCAAGTCCACTTTGCAACATAAATAAAAAAGCTAGCTTGAATCTGTGGCAGTGGGTGGGAATCTTAGTGAATAAAACATTTTCATGTCTATTATGCAAATACAAGCATCGATTATGCACTATTTTTAAAAGTAGATCTGTATTTTATTTTCTTACTCACCAATTCCCTTGAATATATCAACTGAACTGAAATAACACAGTTATATTCAATATTTTTTTAAATTAACTGTCTATATATACTTTATTTGGATTGCCTTAGTTTTCCCCTAACTACCTTGTTCTGTTCCAAGAACCCTCTAGAATACCACATTACATTTAGTCATCATATCACCTTAGGCCTGTCTGGGCTGTGACATTTTCTCAGACTTTTCTTGTTTTGGGGGACCTTGACTGTTCTGAGAAGTACTGGTCAGGTGTTTCAAAGAATGCTCCTCAATTTAGGTTTGTCTCATGATTAGACTGAGGTTATGGGTTTTTGGAAGGAAGACCCCACTGCCATTCTCATCCATCACATCAAGGGCACAGGAGCTGTTTATTTTGGAGTCACAGCAAACAATTAACCTGCTTCTGAATGTCAAAGCCACAGGCATTCCCTGAGGAAAGCGTCACTGCCCAGATGTCTGCTTCCTACCTTAGAGACACACTACAGCCTTAGGAAGTTAATAAGCCTAGCAAGATGGCAAAACTGACCAATCCCTGCGTTAGGGTTCCATACAACTTATTTGGATGATCCCAGCCCTACAAGGGTGCCATGTACCTTATTCACATTATTAGCAAGCTATCCAGTACCCTTGGTGGGTCACAAGCACCTCACATTTCCATGGTCCCACACAGTCATCTGGTAGGTGCCATAAAGAACATGGGAGCTCTGGTAGCGTAGTGCCTAAGGCACTTGACTGCTAACCAGAAGGCTGACGGTTCAAACCCACCAGCCACTCCTCAGAAGGAAGGTTGGGCAATCTACTTCCATAGTGATACTGCCTCAGAAACCCAAGGAGGGGTTGCTGTGAGTCGGATCTGACTTGACAGCAGTGCATTATTATATTTTCACTCAAAATTGTCAGGCCCTGGATCTATTTGTTTAAGGCACTCCTGGCCAACAATTCAGGGTACTCCAAGAATGTTTCACCAGTATTCTGGAATCTGAGTGGCTATTTACGAATTTACTTCCTTTCACAACCCATAAATTAGCAGTTAATGCCATTCCTCAGTGAGATCTTAATACAATTCCTGTGAGAATACAGCTAATAAGACCAAGCCAAGACTTCGTGGATCTCTGTGGATGCAACATTTCTTTTCAGGTTGAAAGCATGTTGCATCACAAGTTTAATAAATTCCGTCCCAGTGCTCTCAGCACAGAGTGACAGTAGCACACTAAAACTCTGTCTCTTACATTGCACATCATTCAAGTGTGGTATTAACCACCCAGGGGAATATCAGAGGGCCGTTTTGTTTGTTTGGTTTGGTTTTGTTTTTTAAATCTGGCTTGAGTTTTGTTCAAAGTGAAGATCAACTGTACTGAGATGGCTCAAATCTGAACTAGAGATGGCTCAATCAACCACACCCAGAAACACAAAACACTGGAAAGAGCAGGCCTCTTGCTTCACCCTGATCGTGAGTGCCTCCTTAAACATTGCTTCCTAGGCGTCCATTTCGCCTGGCCCTGTCCCACCTGCCCACAGTACTGTTCTTAAGTTCTGTGCGGGTAAACACTCCCAGGAGCATGAAATCAGCTGGTCTTGAATTCTAAAATGCTCCAGGCCCTAAGCACAGCAAAGGCAGGAAGCCTATCAGTCTGGGCATACAATATCCTCGGACCATTTCAGAAACAGGAAGGTTTCCCTGGGTTGGTGCGAGTGACAGGGTAGTCTGGGAACAACGGGCCCCCGGCTGCTCATCTGTGAGGCTGCTGAGGGATTGAAACAATCTGGGAACTAATAAATAAACGTGTAATGGGGGACAGCTGGAGAAACCCCATAAAATTAAACAAGACTTTTCCAGTCGCTGGGAAGGAAATAAAACAAAAACGGTGGCAGAAACGCAACTACCATATCCAGTGATTCCTTGGCCATTTTAAAAAACTAACTGAAGAGAAAGCTGTGGGGCCCACAGGCGGAAACTTTTCAGAACTGCGGTCCGGGCGAATGACTCCGCATTCGGTCGCCTGCTATCCTTGAGCCCGGCCGGAGTCGACGCACCCGCAGCCTGTGTCGCTCGGTGTTACTACCACCAGGGAGGGCGAGGCCTCGTGGCCTTACTTTACAATGTAACTTAATAAACTGATACTGTTTTGTGTGCGTATGCGTTAAGACTGTACCCAAACGATCTGCGTAATACAGGGAACGGGCGGTCTTGTAAAGAAACCTCAATGCCCACGAACGAACGGAAAACGGCTTAGAGGGCGCAGGGCCCTACCCTCCGAGAACTGGAACTCGGAGATGGCCCAGGGGCGCCACCGGCCCAGGGGCGCCACCAGCCCAGACGCATCCTGCTCTGAGCGAGGACCCTAGAGCACTAGACGCCTCCGCCGCCAGCGGAGCCCGGCCTCCCAGTGGCCGCCCCTCCCCCAATCCGGATCCAACCGAGTGTACACCCCGTGGGGAGTCGAGCGCGGGTTGCTAAGGACAGGCCCTACCTCGCCGTTTCGCCCGCACGATGCCCTTCTTCTGTAGCACGAACGTGGACCCGTTCACCAAGCTTGACACAACAGCCACGCCCAGGCCGAGCGAGATGGCAGCTGTACTCGGGGTGCGCGCCCCCTCCCCGGCAGTCGCCGCCGCAGCCGTCGCCACGGTCCCCATTTCGCTCGCACCCGCCGCGCCGCACCTGCGCCTGCGCCTGCGCGTCCGCCTCTCTATGGGGGGGTGGTGAGAAGCCGAGGCTCCACGGGGCCAATGGGCGGGGAAGAGTCCGCGCACCGCTAGGCGAGGGTATTCGGGAGACTCGGGGCTCCGCAAGGTGGTGAGGGGCGGGGAACGGGGCTCCGCGAGGCCGAGATAGGGGTAGGGAAGGTGTCTGGGGCTCCATGGCACCAGAGTGTAAGGGCGAGGGGATGGAGCTCCACCGAGCGGGGGTTGGGGGTCGACTGGGGCAGCGAGGGGATGAGGCCAGGCCTCTCACTGGAAATCGACGACTACCAGCTGAGGCACGAATCATTTCAGTCAGGAGCTCATCTCAGATTTTAACCGAGTAACTGGAAAATATCTAAAGTGTAGAGGAGGAAGCAAATACTTCAGAGAACTTCCAGACTCTGAGGCTGGGTTGGGTTTCTGGAGTCAGAGGTTTTAATACTAAAAGCAATGGGTCTTCATTTTGAATAAGGTAGGGGTCTGAGTTGTGGAGACTGGTAGGGGAAATGGAGACCAAAGGAGAGGCCAGGAGGCAGGGGACGCCACGAGGAAAAGAGAGGCAATGGAGCCTAAGGAAGAAGGCAAGAAGGACAAGGGGAGGAGGTCTGAGTAGAGGCAGAGGGAGCAGTAGGTGAACATGAAATGAGGTGATGGGGGGGTGGGGGTGGAGAGGGCGACATAAAAGAAGGAGGCAGACATAAAAGATAAGCTGGGAGGAGGTTCCCAGAGTTAACAAAAGCACAAGATGCCCAGTTAAGTTTAAATCTCAGGTAAACTTGTTTAGTATGTTTCATGAACTATTTGGGACTAGAAGAGGGCCAGCCGCCCTGCTGGACCCACAGTTCCCCCAAAGCCTCCGGGTTGACAGCATGACACGTGTGGAGCCAGAGGCCATGCAAAATAGAAACTCAAATGAGACTCCTCGACATGGAAATTTTTTCCTCAGCCTTCCTTTGCCTTGTAGAGTCCACCGTCTGCACACTGGAACTGTGAACTTGTGATCATATTGTCTAATCCTTATTTAATTTTTAGTAATAAAATGCTGTATATCAAAATACAGAAGGTGTGGAAAAATGAAAAAAGTCAATAAAAAGTAATCCAACAACCCATCTGTAAAGCCTAATTAATTGCTATGCCTATAGCTATAATCCCATTTGAAAATGGGTTACCACTCTTCAGAAGGAGGATTGGGCAATCTACTTTTGTAGTGATAAACCAAACCAAACCTGAATCAGGCTCATAGCAACCCCTTCTTGGGTTTAGGAGGTGCTATCACTACAGAAATAGATTGCCCAACCTTTCTTCCCAGGAGAGGCTGGTAGGTTTGAAAAGCCAGCCTTCTGGTTAGCAGTCAAATGCCTTAGGCACTACTCCACCAGACCACCTCGGAAATCCAAGGAGGGGTCGCTGTGAGTCAGATCCAACTTGCTGGCAGTGAGTTTGTTTTTGTTTGTTTTGTCTTTATGATTACTGTAGGGTGTATTTTGAGTCAATCTCTTTTGAGACATAAAAGAGATTAAACAAGCAAATGAGAAAGCAGAGATGGAAGAAGATAAACACAATACCTCATGAAAATCACCAAAGAGCCAAGTAATAAGGACCTTCCCCATAGCCAACAGACGGAAAGCCTTCCCATAGAAAATGCCCTGAATTTAGATTTCTAGCCTTCTCAAATGTGAGAGAATAAATTTCTGTAGTAAAGCCACCTACTTGTGGTGTTTCTATTGTAACACCACTAGATGACTTAGACATCTCCCTAATTATTATTATTTTAGGTGTTTCTAACGGTAGCATAGTGCCTAAGGCACTTGACTGCTAACCAGAAGGCAGGCAGTTCAAACCCACCAGCCACTCCTCGGAAGGAAGGTTGGGCAATCCTAGTTCCGTAGTGATACTGCCTCGGAAAACCAAGGAGGGGACGCTATGAGTCGGGGCCGACTCAACGGAAAATAACAACAACAACAGCAAATGGGAGGAACCAGGATTCAATTCCTACACAATGCACCTCGTGTGCAGCCACCGCTTGACTGTAAATAAAGCCTTGCATGTGCTATGATACTGAACAGGTTTCAGCGAAGCTTCCAGACCAAAATGAGAAGAAAGACCTAACAATCTATTTCAGAAAATCAGCCAATGAAGACACTATGGTCTGATTCTGCTGTGCGTAGGACCCTGGATAGAGTGGGAGAAAAATGTGGAACTAAACTCAAAACCACAAAAACCATTAAAAAAAGACTAGGCTTACTGGTCTGATAAAAGAAATAAAAAAAATAAGCTCACTGCCAGTGAGTCAATTCTGATGCATAGTGACCCCTACTGGATTTCCAAGGTGGTAAGTCTTTATCTTCCTTCCACTGAGTGGCTTGTGGGTTTGAACTGCCAAACTAGTAGTAAAAAAAAAAAAAAAAGTAGTAGTCAAAAGCCTTAGGCACTCTGCATTCTGGTCTGATAGTGACTGGTGAAACTCCCTAGACTATGGTCCCTAGTCACTCTTCAGGCCTGGAATTGAATACACTCCCTTGGCTCTCACCCAAACAGTAGACATCCATAAAATATGAACATTTACACCAGGTAAGTACACTCCTTGGAACAATCATGGCAGATCAGAAGGGCAGTATTTGCACAGGAGATAGCTCAGAGGGCAGGAATGCATGGTAAAGAATGATACAGACAAAATATAGCCATAGGGAGGAAGTGGGAAGAGAGCTTTTACATTATGGGAATTGCAATCAATGCCATGAAACAAAATGTGTATGAACTGCTGTATGGAAAATGAAATTGCTCTGTAAACTTTCACCCAAATCACAATTTAAAAAAAAAAGCTGAACAGATTTCAAAGGGTGGCATGACCTGGAGTTAGAAAACCAAAAAGAAAGAACATGCTAGGCATTTCTCAAGCTGAAAGAACTGGGGGGAAAAAATTCAGGGTTCAAGTTACAATATTGGAGGACTCTGTGAACAAAATATTGAATGTTTCAGGAAGCAACAAAAGAAGATGGAAGGAACACACAGTCTCTGTACCAAAAACAATTGGTCATTGTTCAACCATTTCAGGAAGTAGCATGTGACCAAGAACCACTGGTACTGAAAGAAAAAGCTCAAGCTGCACTGAAGGAATTGGCAAAAAAAAAAATAAATAAATAAATAAATAAATAAAATGAGGCTCCAGGAATGGATGCAATACCCAATGAGATGTTTCAGCAAATGGATGCAGTACTGGAGACACTCACTTGTTTATGCAAAAAAAATTTGGAAGTCAGCTGCCTGGCCACCAACTGGAAGAGATCCATATTTGTGTCCATTCCAAAGAAAAGTGATCCAACAGAATGTGCAAATTATTGAACAGCATCATTAATATAATACACAAAGTTTTGCTGAATATAATTCAAAAATGGTTGCAACGGTGTATTGACAGGGAACTGCCAGAAATTCAAGCTGCATTCAGAAAAGGGCATGGAATGAAGTATATCATTGCTTATGTCAAATGAATCTTGGCTGAAAGTAAAGAATAGCAGAAAGATGTTTATGTGTGTTTTATTGACTATACAGAGGCATTAGACCGTGTGGATCATAAAAAAATTATGGATAATATTGCAAAGAATGGGAATTCTAGAACACTTCATTGAGCTCATGTGAGCCTGTACATAGACCAAAAGGCAGTTCTTAGAGCAAAAGAAGGGGATACTACCTGGTTTAAAATCAGGAAAGGTGTGCATCAGGGTTGTATCATTTCACCAGGCTTATTCAATCTGTATGCTGAGCATGTAATCTGAGGAATATGGCAACAGGATTGGGGGAAGACTCATTAGCAACATGTGATAGCAGATGACCCAACCTTGCTTGCTGAAAGTGAGGAAGACTTGTAGCACTTACTGATGAAGATCAAAGACTACATACAGCCTTAAGCATGGAGTACGCCTCAACATAAAACAAAAATTCTCACAGCTGGACCAATAAGCAACATCATCATAAATGGATAAAAGATTGAAGTTGTCAGTGATTTCATTTTACTTAGTTCCACAGTCAACGCCCATGGAAGCAACAGTCAAGAAATCAGATGACGTATCGCACTGGGGAAGTCTCCTGCAAAAAATCTCTTTAAAGTCTCTGGTTCCCTGTTTAGAATCTTGCAAGCTTATTTTACTTTGGATGTGTCCATAGCTGTGGTTTCTGGGTTATGTCATCTTGTGTATTAATTGTCAGTTGTTATTTGCTATTTTTGGTTCTGTGTTCAAAGGACTCCCTCTAGCATCTCTTGTAAGGTTGGTCTGGTTTTAACAAATTCCCTTAGTTTCTGTGTATCTGTAAATCTCCTAATTTCACCATCATACTTGAGGGACAATTTTGCCAGGTATATAATTTTTGGTTGAAAATTTTTCTCTTTCAGGGTTTTGTATATACTGTCCCATTGTCTTCTCACTTGTATGGTCTCTGCTGAGAAATCAGAGCTTATTCTTACTGGTTGTCCTTTGTAGGTAACTTTTTGTTTTTCCCGTGCTGCTTTCAGAATTCTGTCTTTGTCTTTGGTTTTGATGAGTTTGATGTTATGTTTTTGTGATTTTCTTTTGGGGACTATCCTGTTTAGAGTTTGTTGGACTTCCTGAATGTATATATTCTCATCTTTCATCATATCAGGGAAGTTCTCCTTCAACAAATCTTGGACAATTTTCTCTGTGGTTTTATTATTCTCTTCCTGTTCTGGAATTCCAGTGACACATAGGTTACACATGAACCTTAGGCTATCTTCATTTTGTTTTGATCTTTTTTTCTGATTGATCCCTTTCCAAAGAAGTATTCAGGTATTTGTCTTCAATCTCATTAATTCCGTCTTCCATTGCATAAATTCTACTCCTTTGTCCTTCCTATGTGTTATCTATTTCCTACCATTTAGTATAAGTCTTCTGGATTTCTATCTGTAGATTTAGAATTATTTC